CGCCCCTCACCAGGCTGAGCTCGGTGCCGGGCCAGTTCACCCTGAACGGGATGTCGTCGCTGAGCTGCGGGAGCGCTCGGCCGCCCTGGGCCACGGCCGCCACGGCCGCCAGGAGCCCGCAGAGCAGCGCGGGGGAAGCCGGGCGGGTCCCGCCGCCCCTAGCGGGGCCCGGGGCCGGGCGGGGCGGCCCGCAGCCCCTGGCGGGGCCCGGGCAGGGCGGCCCGCAGCCCCTCATGCCGGCCGGCGGCTCCGCGGAGGCCGCGCTGCGCCGCCGCCACGTCGGCTTCCGGCAGCGCCCATCAACAACCGGGGCAGCGCCCGCCGCCGCATCCGGGGCGGCCCCGCCGCCATCGCAGGTGAGAGCCGCGGGCACCGAGCCGTGAGGGGGGAGCCGGGGGTGAGGGGGTGACTGAGGACAGTGAAGGGAGCGAGTGAGGGGGGCGAAGGGGCGAGCGAGGGAGGGAGTGAACCGTGAGGGGGGAGTGAGGTAAGGGGGAGAGTATGTGAGGGTGAGTGAGGGAGGAGTGAGGGAAGGGGTGTGTGAGGGGGGAGAACGGGATGCGTGTAATTAACTTCGGTTATTAGTGTCTGCACTAAGGGTTAAACACGACCAACAGCTACGAGGTTATGAGTATAAGACATAAATGTAAGACATGTATGAGTGTAAGCGCTCTAAGGGCTCCCGGTATGTGCGTCTCTATAGACACCTGTGTATGTGTCTGTGTATATACAGCTATGTATGTATATATGTGTGTGTATGTGTATATACATGTTTATATAGATATACACATATATATACATATATACACGCACACACACATATATGTATGTATATACACATATATACATATATATGTGTATATACACACATATATACATATATATACATATATGTATATATATACATATATACATATATATACATATATGTGTATATATATACACATATATACATATACACACATATATATACATGTGTATATATAAATAGATGTGTGTATATATACACACTTGTATATATATGTGTGTGTATGTGTATATACACACTTGTATGTATTTATAATTTTTTAAGAGAAGGGGTCACAACTGCGTTTAAACGTAACAGACATGAGAGTTTCTGTTCTTGCCGGGTTGTGACTTCAAGTCCTGTTCTTAAGTTAATTTTACCATGTGGGGTTTATTCTTTATATTAGGCTTGAAAAGTGAAATGAGGCACTGAGAGGTTATGGCTTGTTGGAGTCCAAGTCAGGACTTGACAATAAAGAGGTTTATCCTCTGCATTTAAGGATAAATTAATATGTAAAGGGTAAGATGACTAATTCAGTGGAATAACTTCATTTCAGAGCAGCTGAACATTGATAT